TATATATATATATATATATATATATATATATATATATATAATAAATAATAAATATATATAGAAATAAATAAATAAAAAAACCTTGTAATGACGTAGCAAGCAGCAAAAACTGATACCAAAGCAGATATGGCAAGTACGACAGCAGCAATGTGTAGTGGTCTTATCTGATGTTGAAAAGTATCGTCATCTATGTTAGAACTTTCGTTGACCGTTATCGAAAACGAATCCGAATTCAACGAAATAATACGTTCTCTGCTACTTGAATTATTTGTCGATCGTCCATACGAATCAATAGATTGTATTTGATTATGAAAATCAATTCTATTTGACAATTGTGGATTATTGTTAGCTGGTATATTTGTATTTTGATTTTGATACGTTATGTTATTTTGGTAATTCATTTTTTTAATAAAAAAACTCCCCTCTTCTTCTTCTTCTTCTTCTACTTCCTCTTCTTCTTTTTCTTCTTCTTTATCGATTTTGTTTAATTTATTCTTATCTTTTTCTATTTCTTGTAAATATTTCGATACGTCACCAAGATAATCAGCGTTACAATAATCTTGACTGTCGCAACACTTTAACCTTGGCCAGGACATTCGTATCCAAGGTATCGTTGATGATAATAAACGATTATTTTCAATGGTATCGTTTTCCTTATTATTGTATCTATTGTCAAAAGAAGATGAAGATAATGAGGACAACGATGGTGATAATTTTGACCTCGTGATCCAAGATTTTGTCTCGCACAATAATGGCGTTGGGCTTCTATAAAATAACAATATATATCTTTCAGTATTCATATATATATATAAACGTATATAATGTGTTACAGTAATTTAATTAAATTATTATTTGTTTAATTAATTATGCATTTAATTTCGTTTAAATGATTATTATTATAATTAATAATTATTTAATATATTATTAAAATTAATTATATTATTAATTGTAATTATAATATTAATTTTATTATTAATTATATTTAGAAGATCATTAATTATATATTAATTATTATATTAATTATTAATATTATATTAATTTTATAATATTGATTAAATTTATAATTAATTATAAAATTATATAATAATAATAATATAATATAAAATTAATATATAATATTAAAATATAATAAAATTTATTTTAATTTCATATAAATAATTATTAATTTTCGAATATTTTTAAATGAAACCTAAGATCAAATAAAATTTTAATGAAATCAAATAAAAATCAAATAAAAATTCTTTTCTTTTTTTCACATTAGACAAATAATTACAAATATTTCTAAAGAAAGTTAAATATTTCTATTTTTCGATATCCACGCAATTAACGTGAATTTTATACTTTACGATAAAATAAACAATTTATTTTTATTATACATTAAGATGGTTATCACACCACTCTTATGGTTTAAGCGAATTTTCTATTCGTATAATCGAATAACTGTCATCTCTAAAAATGTTTTTAGAAAGATAAGAAACAAGGTGAAACGAAGAAACGAATGATTCGAATTTTGTGTTGTTTGGATTTTAATTATCTCGTCATAGGTCAAAATAACGTTACTGAATTTATAATACGGCAATTCTGTATATAATCAAAACCAGAAATTCGGCATGGAAGATAATCGTTTTTTAATTCTTACCATATACTATTTACCATAAACTACTTAGTTTAGGTTTACGATTTATTACCCAATAATAACGTAGAAATGTCGACGGTCAAATCTTAATTTATTCCAAATATATTGATATTTTAATACTCACACGTTTTGTGTGTGTGTTTCTTTCTTTTTTATTAGTAATTTAAATGAATAATTTTTTGTTTGTCTGTATTTTTTATTCTTTTATTATTTAATTATTTATATTTTATTATTTTTTTATTTATTTATTTATTTATTTATATTTTATTTACTAAAGTATAATTTATTATAATAAAGTATATTTTATTTACTTAAGTATATTTTATTATACTAAATTTTCAACGTTTCTAATTTATCGTAAAAATATATTCAAATTTTTTTTATTATTTAATTATTTATATTTCATTATTTATTTATTATTTACTTATTTATATTTTATTATTAATTTATTATTTATTTATTTATATTTTATTATTATATTTATTATACTAAATTTTCAACGTTTTCAATTTATCCTAAAAATATACTCAAATAATTTATAATTATGAAATATTAATTTAAAAATATAATCAATCAAAATGAATTTAATTAATGTAATAAAAAATATGAATAAAATACTAACTGTGTACATCCTCGGGTTGTTGTATTTTCACCAATTTTTCTATTATCACTTATTGGAATTAATTCCGTGTAACAAAAGTATTTAGTCTCGCAGGTATTTTCTCCAGCTTCTTTACAATCCTTACTTGTGCACACACATTTTCTACCTGATGAAAATTACAACAACTTAACACATTTATTATAACAAATTCAATTACATTTGTTCTCTTATCACCATATAACACGTATATCATTACAAAATATAATAACAATAAATATATATATAAATATTTCTGTTACAAGAGTATAAACATTAATCTAATATATTTATAGAACACTTACCCCTACATAAATACACATTCATACACATATATATATATATATATATATATATATATATACATATACACACACAAATATTGTTTACATAATATATTCTTGTAAATATGAAAATACACTTACCCTCGACACTTGTAATAATATAAATATTAATAATTATAACAATAACGATTAAAAATTTGCCACTATTAATCGACGTAAGAAACATTTTGAATATTTAAAAGCTGATTTTTGATCGAATTCACCTTGAAACAAAACGAAACAAAACAAAACAAAACAAAAATAAAAATAAAATGTCATTGAACTCTTTCATCGATTAATTAAACGTTATCGAAATTTTACGTATGACGAAGAAATCTTGTTATTTTGATTTTAAGCATTCGATGATTCATTACGAAGATGATTTATAAAAAAAAATAAAAAAAAAAATAAAAAAAACACAAAAAAATTATCGATACATTTAACAATCACTTCGAATTACTTTCAATTTAGTTTTGTGATTTTCTACATACATTGTACATTTTTTCTTTTTTTTTTATCTTCTAATATTATTTTTCAATAGACAAATTTTCTTATTGTTATTTAATTATATTATGGATTAAAAAAACCGAATAATCGGCTGGTGAATGAGATATAAACCGCGCAAAAACGTGTTATCTGTAAGAAGAACTATTTGAAAGTGTTCAAAAGAGAAGTCTTTTCGAACATTGAAGGGGGTGAAGGGACGGGGGGTGGACGAGGAGGAGTAGGAGGGGGGGGAGAGAAGAAATGGGTTTCATCGCACGATCTTTTCTAATTTTAGTGCCTCCCACTAGAAGATCAGAAAACCCTGAAGAAAGATGAGGAAGACGTCAACGAAGAGAACAGTAGAATATATATATACATATATAATAAAAAGAAATATAAAACATACGAAAAGAAGAAAAAAAGAGGTGAGGTGAGGTGAGGTGAGGTGAGGGGGGGGGCGGAGGAGGAGGAGGAGGAGGGTAGGCAGAAATAAAAAGAATATATTTGTGTCCTTTTCTTTCTTCTTAAAAGAAATCCGACGACAAATACGACGACGATGACACCTCAATGATTCCGTGTCGTGTGCCATCACCTTTCTTATTTTTTTCTCTTTTTTTTATTTTTTTTTTTTTTTAATTTCTTTTTTCTCTTCTCATTTTTCTCATGGTATTTTATTTTTCTTCACACATACACACACACACACACACATAAATACATATTCTAATGCAGTAATATATTATGTTATTATACACAAAAATATTAGTAATAATAATTATTTTGTTACATTTCTCAAATTGTATTATGATATGATATAATATAAGGGATGACATTTCAATTGAATTATTAATTATTTATATATAATTATTAATGAATTTTTTCTTTCATGTTTTTGTTTTGTTTTGTTTTTTTTTTGTTTTTTGTTTTTTTTTCAATATTCAGTATAGAAAAGTACAACGATTATAATTGATATTGCAATTGGATAATATATTATTATATTATAGTAAATTATTAATATATATTATTTCATTTTTCTTTTCTATTTTTGTTTTTTGCAATATTTGGTATAGTAGAAAAAATATAACAATTATAATTGATATTTCAATTGGATAAAATTATTATAATATAATAAATTATTAATATAATTATTATATTGTTCTTTTCTATTTTTGTTTTTTGCAATATTTGGTATAGTAGAAAAAATATAACAATTATAATTGATATATTAATTTAAAATTTTGTATTTGACAAAAGGTGTATCTTTAGTTTGTAAGTTAATTAATACATTAATATTTATTATTATAATTTATTAATATAATATTTATATTATTAATAATTAATAATATAAATTAATAAAATAAATATTGTTTTATAGATAAAATATATATATATATATATTATGATGATATTATAATACCAACGATTCAATTTCAATTGGATAAAATTATTATATAATTAATTATTAATATAATTAATTCGTTTTTCTTTCATATTTATCAATATTTAGTATAGAAAAATATAACATATATATATATAATTATAATATATTATTTATATAATTATATATTATTATTATTATTATATAATTATAATTGATATTTCAATTAAAAATTTTGTATTTAACAAGAGGTATATGTTCTTTGATATTTAATTATTAAATATATAAACATTTACTATTATAATTTAATTGTCGTAAATAAATATCGTTTTATAGACAATATATAAATATATAATATACAGGGTGTCCCATATAACTATATTCACAATTTTTCAATTACTCGTAATAATCTGACAAAAGAAATAATTTAAACAAATGTTGAATCTCTTTCTAATTGACTATAAAATTGCAATAAAAAAAAGGAGTTTAACAAATTTTCTTTTTTTCTTCTTTTTATATATATTTTAGGTAGCCCTGAAAATGATTCTTTTTCCATTTTGAAAAAGACTTTACTTTGAATGTTTTCCATTTTATCGATCCCACCCCCCCATCAACCCTCTCCCAACCCTCCCCCAATCCCCCGAACCCCTATCTATCTTTCTCTCTCTTTCTTTCATTCGTTTATTCGTTCTATCTTTCGAGAGAGTGACTTAATTTATTGAATTTATTATACACTCGCACGATCTTTCGTCGAGGCGCCTTCTTTTTTCGTAGTAGTCGTCGTCATCGTCGTCGTCGTCGTCGTCGTCGTCATCGTCGTCGTCGGAAAGACGACTTACGAAGAAGACTAAAAAGACTACGAGAAACTCTTAAATAAAGTCAACCGATTTATTGAAAGAACAACATCTTTGCACGGACGACAGGCGCCTTTTTCTCCTCCTCCTCCTCCTCCTCCTCCTCCTCCTCCTCTTCCACCTCCCCAACCTTCTTCTCCTCTTCTTCTTCTTCTTGTATTCGTTACAACCCCTCGAATATAGTAATACACTTTTCTTCGAATGTTTTCAACGTGAACGCGTTTTATCTTATAATTCCTTTGAAATCATTCCAAAAATTTTTCAAACGATCCAACACAACACAACAACAACGACAACTATACTAATACAAAATATATTATATTTGGTACAATGCTTTTATCTTCTTTTTCATCTTCTTCTTCTTCTTTTACTTCTACTTGTTTTTTTTTTTTTTTTATTGCCTTTCTTTCTTTCTATTCTGTAAATTATTAGTTTGTAAATAACAATATCAATATTATCGTACGAATCGTTTAATCCATTTTTGAAAATTAATATTTATATATTTATTATATATTAATTATTGTATATATATATATCATAATAATAATTAATAATAATAATATATAAATATAATATATAAATATAATAATAATTAANAATTAATATATATATATATATATATATATATAATATAATTTTTTATTTTATATATATATTTTGTATATATAAATTATATGTATTATATTATATATATTTTTTATATATAAATAACAAAATTATAAGAAATTATTATTATGTTATTATATTATTTTTATGTTTAATCAAACAAATAATAATATATTTAATTATATTCAAAAGATAACAATTTTGTTTAAACATTTAATAATATTCTTTAACACTAGATTTACTAAATAAGTCATTTCAAATTTTTGTTCATACATATATATATATATAAAACTTAAATATTACTTTTTAAAAATATATATATATTAGTTTTTAATTACGTAATGAAATATATTGAAATAATTATTCCTACTTTCTAATTAATCCTTCATTCAAATAATCTTTGTAAATCATTAAAAAAAAATAATAATAAACAAAATATCCGTAAATCTGATGTTAACATTGAATTTAATGTAAGAACGAATAAACGAATGTATGAAAGAAATCAATAAAATACGAGAATCGAATAAATGTTCATTTAAAACTATTCTTCTTTGAAAAATGTCTTCTAATAAGATTCCCTTGTTTTTTTTTTTTGTTTTTTTTTTCAACATTGATATACAACAAATAATTACGTGTAATATACGACATTATTATTTATCTATTCACAATTTCCAATATGGGGGTTGAGTGAATCAAAATGAAATTAAAATTTATTCGAATACCTTTCAATATATAAATAATTGTATCTAGTAATAGTAGTAGTAGTAGTAAAATAGTAATAATAATAATAATAGTAATAGAAGTAAAAGTAGAAATATAAATAGTAGTATAGTAGTAGACTATTTCAATGGTTTTCTCTCTCGAAGATTGCTGCGATTTAACTTTTATCATGAGTAAGGATCTCAAACAACTTAAGAGGTCTTGCAATAGGGATAAGAAATCTAAGAAAAGTAGAAGAAAGAAAGAAAGATAGAAAGAGAGATAGAGAGAGAGAGAGAGAGAGAGATAAGGGAGAAGGGAGAAGGGAAAGGAAAAAGGGAAAATAAATGTATATACCTTGCCACTTGATTGTCCTTTTTAATTAGCTGCTGTGATCTTTTTTCTTGTTCGTTTTTCTTCTTCTTCTTCTTTAAATAAAAAGAGTATGTAAGGTAAGTGTGTAAGTGTGTAAATGTAAAGTATAAAGATTTAAAAAAAAAAATAAAAAAATAAAAATAGGGAAAGAAAATAAAGATGATTGAAAAGGAATAAAAGAAAGAGAGAGAGAGAGAAAGAGAGGGATAGAAAGAAAAGGGTGTAATAAAGATAAAAAGATTTAAAAGAGAGATTAAAAAAAAGTGAATAAGAGATTAAAATTTAGATTGAGATATAGAAATACAGAAATTTACAGAGGTAAATAAAGATAAAGAAGACAGAGAAATAGAAATAAAAAGATTTACAAAAGTAAAGAGAGAGAGAGAGAGAAAGTCAGAGAAATAGAAATACAGAAATTTACAGAAGTAGAGAAAGAGAAAGACAGAGAGATAGGAATAGAAAGATTTACAAAAGTAAAGAGAGAGAGAGAGAGAGAGAGAGTTAGAATTATAAAAATTAACAATAGTCAAGAAAGAAGAAAATAGAGATAGAAATAGAAAGATTTACAAAAATAAAAAGAGATAGTAAGAGAAAGTCAAAGGAATAGAAATACAGACATTTACAGAAGTAAACGAAAGAAAAAGACAGATAGAAATAGAAAGATTTACAAAAATAAAAAGAAATAGAAAGAGAGATAGAAATACAGAAACTTACAGAAGTAAAGAAAAAGAAAGACAGAGATAGAAATAAATAGATTTACAAAACGAAAAAGAGAAAGAATGATATAGAAATACAGAAATATACAGAAGTAAACGAAAGAAAAATACAGAGAGAGAGAGATAGAAATAGAAAGATTTACAAAATAATAAAAAAGAAAGAGAAGAAGAAGAAGAAGAAGAAGAAGAAGAAGAAGAAGAAGAAGAAGGATAAAGAGAATTAAAGAGAAAGTATAAAGATCAAGAAAATTGA